CGGCCTCTCCCTCGACCGCGTCGTCCCCCTCGTCTACGGCCTCTCCCTCGACCGCGTCGTCGGCGATGTCCTCTGGACCGACTGGGCTGTTCACTAAGTCTCTGAGGTCGAAGGGAGAGTGGCAAAATCTGTCAAAACTGCTTTCTGGGCGAATATCAAGGTCAATATCCATGACCTCTGGGACCGGGCTCAGTCTGCCCGACGGCTCTTGGTCCTCCATCTGCTTCATATGTTGGTCGTAGTCCGGTAGATCGGGGTGAATTTCTTTGAAAAAGGACTCGCGGTCGCCGTCTATCGCCCATTCCATGAATTGGTCCATGTTGTCCACCGTATGGATTTCTTCGTCCGTGTACTGAGCCTGAAAATGAAAGATAAGCTGCGTTTAGGTCTCTACCGTGTCTTCCAGCAAGAAAAAGGTTAGCCCACAGGGCTTAGAGAGAGACAATTCCCTCGGTTAGGGCTGAACGCTCCCCCTTCAGTTTTTCGTACAGCTCTGAGTATTATAGCATAGCTTCAACAGTCCAAGCCGCTCTGCCATCCGTCCGGAGCGCAGCGTTCGGCAGCCCGCTGCTGGCCTAGGGCCAGGGCCTCTTCGCTAAAATCATGAGGTTTCTTATCGGTTTGTCTAACCATCGAGCGGTCCGGTAGCACGGGGAGGATTGGGAGTGAGTGAGTAGGTGCGAGGCGAGGTTGCCGGACCAGCACTGCCGCCAGCGGACTGTCATCTCATCACATAGGTGAAGTGGAAGAGGGACGGGTAATGCCGTGCGCTCTCTCTCTCTCTCTCTCTCCGTGATCGCCTACCGTCCATTGAGGGCTCGGCCCAACACCGAAACACCGCCACTGCACCTGTATGGTAATTAGAGGATGGGTTTGGGAAGAAAGGGAGAGACCAAAGCGTGGAGGGGCGGAGAGGGGGGGGGAGGGGGTGCAAACCGTTGAAGCCTGTTACAGTAACGCGGCGGGTCGTCACTGACCCCTGGCTCCACCGGCCCACGCAGGCAGCACGCCCACGCGCCATTTGCTCCAACGGAGGAGGGCAAACATCTTGTCAGCCCCCCCCCCGAAAAATATCCTTTATGGAGGAAACCACCCCCCTGCACCCTGTATTGGGCTTGCCTTCCCGACTTGTCCTGCATCGAAGCCAAGCTGCTGCGGGCTGCGTGCCTCGAGTTGTGGGGAGGTCCAGTTCGCTATGCAAGTACAGTCATACTCCAAAAATGGCGCAAATGAACAGGTACTTGCAATCAAGAAAATGCACTTTATTTCCAGTCCCTGCTTTTTAGAATGTGCCGTTTTTCTTAAGTTAAGAAAA